CCGACACGAACGTTTTCACTGATTTACACGGTAAGAACTTCTGGTTGCTAAGACAACATCACGAAGCTTTTTCTAAAGTGGTTGACGATGTGTCAATCAGAACAAACTTTCAGGTCGTTTACGGATACGACCATCCGAAATGGAACAGCACAATAAAAAGTGTTGTCATGACAACATAATCCATCAAAAGTACTGGAACTAAGAAATATAAAACAATTTTTTGCATGTTGTACAAGCAACTTGTTTATGGCCTCTCGCTTCAATTAATCAGTGCGTTCATTATGGGAAGAATGCTCTTGAGGAAATTAGCAAAGAGAAATATCCACGGTCATTATGGCATCACAGTCTGCTACTTTGAAGAACATTCAAAACCCGCTACTTTTATGTGATGCTAAAATTAAAGGTAGGACTTCAGTTTGTTGAAACAGCTTCTTAATGGAATTAACTATTTTATTTAGGAAAACTTTCATCCAGTTTTGGGGGCAAGGCAAATCCAGTTCTGTCACGGTCCACCTGCGATGTTGCAGGCTTGCTGCAAGCAGAGACGTAAATTTACGACACAAGCACGGTCGCATCTACACTTTGACCAAACCCGATATTTGTATCAGAAAATATTGACTTGGGGCCCTCTGGAACAAGATATTTTGTTTGAAATAATGTAGAAAATGGGTTTTGGAGGTGATGTGAAGGTTGTATGTTCTTAAAATCTATTTGAAAGGACTATAAATTACGATAAATGATACTCATCGTTTGTTTGAAGCTCCAGTTAACTTCATTTATAAACTCACATTCATTGTTATGTTATGTGTGCTTTGAAAGTTGACAACTAAATCATGTCCAAAGTTGCTGGAATACAAATAGCCAAGTTTGTTTAAAAAAATATGAATGCCATTTGGAAGGGGTAGGTCTTTTTGGTTGGTTGGTCATTGTATTTGATTTCTGAATAATATGCAGTCTTACAAACGGTGAAAAAGTGGTCAGTTACCGTAAGATTCAGTTAACAAAACTCACCTTTACACCCCATGCCTCGGTAGCGGCGTCAATAGTCGCTTGCATGGTAGCCGACATCTCCTCCCTATCCATGAGAATTTGAGCAAGATCCTTTGTACCCAACACATTCCTAAGGGTAGTCTGTGCAAGCAGTCGAGTTGATCTCGCCGCGTCCTCCACGTTGAGGATGGACAAGGCCGGGTTGCATATTCTGTAGTAGACAACAGCGTCCACAGCCACGGTCACCGAGTCCCTCGTGAGCACCTCCTGGGGTGGAATTGAGAAGGTGACCGTACGGAGTTCGACGGTCCGCACACTGTCTATACAGGGGAGCACGAAGAACAAGCCGGGACCGCGAGTTCCCTGACCGCCCGGCAACAGGCGTCCCATTCTCAAAATGACTGCTCTTTCGTACTCGGCGACGATCTTCAGGCAGAAGATCATGGAGAAGGGGAAGGTCATTACGACGATGATCATGGAAAGGACGGTTAGAAGTGAGGTGAACCAATCCATCTTCTCGGTCTCCTCATTCGACACATGCACCTCGCCCCTGTAGTTTTCTCCATCTTTAGGAAAGCTGGGTCCTTTTTCAGGTGATGAATTCGGTGATTTGTGGGGAAAGGATTGCTTTGTTGGTGATTGTTGTCTTCGATGGTCTTGCGAGGCAAGTGCCTTCTTACCTGGCGAGTCATACGACTTCTGGTAGGTTGGATGCTGTCCAGACTTCGAGGTGAGATGGATTGACTCGGGGGTGTCAAGGATGCGGGTTCGAGGTGGAGCTGAAGGGGTAAAACGCTGATTGGATTGAAATAGCCTTGAGTCGCTCTGGGGACTTGCGCTCTCCTCTTCATCCTCTTCGCCTATACTTCCAGGCCCTGGAAAGTGGCCTAATCGTTGGGCTACCGAAGATCGTGTGCCCAACGCGTCTGCTGGATTACGCTGTTGTCGTGCCTCGCCGTTTCTTCTCTGACCGTTGTTGGCGTTGCCGCCACTCGTAGTGAGCATTTTAATTTCGCGGAAACTGTCAAAGCTCTCTGACTTGGTGGGACGTTCGTTCTTAGACTTGCCATCCATGAGGGTTTTCCCCATTTTCACTAAAAGTACTTGTTGATGATTGGTTGTGCTGGCGATAAGGACTTTGGTTGACCTTGTATTCACTCATTACTGGCGATGGTGCTACGCGGTAGTGGCGATGCGAGATGATCGCAGGTTAATCTGATTGAATTAATCGGACTGATAGTAATCTGAAATCGAAAGAACCGAGTATATTTAACCGGAGACGACATCGGACGCGGGAAGTGCGCTTCAACTGGTCTTTCCCCATGTCTGCTTTTTGCCCTCGCACCATTGGCTAAAACAGCATGTCCTGCTAGGTAACTAGCCAACCGAAATGCGCCTAATCGTTAACCAATCGGCAACCAGCTAAACCACAGAAATCGTGACAATGTGCATAGCAGGCGCCCCCTGGGTTACCTTAATGCTCTGTGCTGCAGAGCATAAATCAAGTGGGGGGATTCATTGCGATCCAATTCGGCGGTTGCTTAGAAAACTGGCGTAAATTCCCTGCGTCGATGTCGTTCACCCGGGACAAAATTGGCAGAGCTAGATTTTGAAGTTTGTTTATCACCCATTTTATCTAGTGCTTGTAAATTTCCTGAAAACACCTTCCACAAAAAAATGTGATCTTCGCCATCTCGTTACTTACCATTCTATTTTCATAATGAAGGTCCAAAAACCAGGCTCAGTTGGATGTGATGTGGACCCCAGCATGTGGTCTTGAACCACGCCGGGGCCACTGAGTTAATTCTCTGCTTCCCGCGATGAAGAGGACGTGGACACAACCATTTTCCTCAGAGCTCAACCAAGTTGATGTCGTGTGTAGCATTTGTGCATGTGTATCTGGATCTCACATACGTGAGTCACAGATGAGCTAACATCGAGGCCTAGGTGTGATGGTAAACGAGCATAAATGTTCTTGCAACGGAGAGGATTTGAGGGTCCGCATGGCTGGTGACATGCTGCGAAAAGGGGAACCCTGTGTCGGAGGCTGCAGTGATCCGAACCAGCGCTCTTCGCAACAGATACCTCGGCAAATGTGGTGCCACCCAACTTCTAACAGCGTATTGGTTTCTTTTTTAGCATAATCGGCCAACACAATTTTAATTTAGCCAAATTTGCTAGGCAAATAAAGGTGGAATGTGGCAATACCATTAGCCATTCTTGAGGGAATGCTTTTTTCCATTTACCTAGGAATGACAACATGATGTAGAAGATAAGTAGGAAACTAACAAGCACTAAATCCACCGTTTTCATGTTTCAATCAATGTTTGGTTGAAATTTAATTAACTTAGCTAAATGCGAATATTTGCTAGCATTATCAAACTGCCAAAGGCCTAATAAAACGTTTCCAAGCCAAATTTGAAATAGCTAATCTCTCTGAGGCCACTTAATTATCCTACAGGCCTTTGAGGATGCAGTTAGTTTGTTTACCAGTCAGATTTGTAAAGCAATGAAAACAAACCATGACAAGTGGTTGTTTTTGTCAGAAGTAATTTGAAGCAATTCAGAGAAACGAAGGCAAATTTTTGCATTAATCGTTAAATGGTATGGGTCATTAACAGACGTAATCGGTATTCAATGAGGAAGGAAGTCAAGGTTCTACTTCCAGGACAATATCGTGACACGAAACGTTCATTTGACTTTGCCTAAATAATCTGAGCAGCTCTTTGCACAATTAGCAAGGTTAATTAATTCCTGCTTTGTCTTGCGATGGCTATCCGCAAACCAATGATGATAGGCTCCAGTGCCCACCAAGCATGCTATGTCACAGCACAACGTGGCTGTCTACGCATTCAATCTTTTTAAAAAAAACTTCTGATGCTTGATTTCATGTAACTTGGTTATTTCCTAGTTGTGTGTTTGTTTTTTGTCATAATTCATCATTAACTATTTAATTCGATTTTTAAATTATCATTGGTTCGAAAAATTATGCAGCATTGATAAGGTGAACGGTATTGAAAAAAATATATCATATTTCACACGCACACAAACACGCAAGGAATATGTAATCTTGAAGTTGACTGTGGTGTAGGAACGATTGTCTCCTAATTTTGCAATAAATCTAAATGTGATTTTCTTGTTCATTCATCAAGTCGTTAATTGATGCTACACTTTAAAGATGACGTAGGGTTTTCCTAGATTAGACTCAGATCTCCATAGGATATAAACTCATTCTCGCCAGTGAATAGTTAATATGGATAAACAGTTTATCGAAGATAACAAACTCACAAAACAGAGCTATATTTGTGCTCCAAACTGAGTCCATGGTTAATATTTCATGGAGAGATTTCCCAGTTTGAGAGCTTGCCCTCCTGCTTAGAAAAATCATCAAAAATATCACGCTATGCGAGAAGTTTCGGTGTCGCCTCAAACTTACGTGTTAATGAAATGTACTTTTAGAGATCGTATTGCAGTTAGTGTTTATGCTAAATGCCGTGTCAATCATGATAAACTCGTAATCGCTCAACCAATCACGAGCCTGCGTCTCTCTCGCGCGTTTAATCGATCACGTAGCCCGAATGAGCCAGTCTGAAATGCAAAATATCTGTCTAGGCTCACAGCATAGTGTCGCGGCGTAGAGTGGGAGACTGTTTGGTCTTGTGGTAAAAAAATCAATACTTTCTTGGTTAGCATTTTTTCAGATCAAATGATACCTATTTATTCTGAGCCGTCAAATAGAAACGGTCAAAGGCGTTGGAGATCATAGCTAGCTAAAAATCCATGTTGTGAAAAACGCCGCAATTACCCAGTTGCTGGAGCTCAGCCTAGAAATTGATTGGCCCTAAAAATGGTCTCTGGTGCGATTTGCAACCACCACTAAAATTTCCACATAAATTTTAGGAGAAGTGGTTTAATTGGCGCATGCGGCGTTTAGTGTGAGGTGTTTATGCGGCACTAAAACGGTAAACCATGGAGTGGTCAGTGTTGTCGATGACTCATCACAGGTCTGTAGTTGTGCGTGCATGTAGCCGCTGACACGAATGGATGACCCTCACCTTGACAACACTGACAGCGTGTTAGTTCCGTTCGTTATCCTCTGCGGGTTACAATTCAGATTTGTAAATTGTGTTTGACTACACTTTGCCAAACAAACTCCGAAAAATTTACTTTCGTTTTCAGTTAATTTGAGTGGCGAAAGAAATTGAACGAGTGTAATAAACCAGAATACTGTATTACCTAAGCTCAATAGAAGACGACATGTTACTGCGAATCTTTTAAGTAAATTACAAGATTCCACTAAGCTGATTGGCTAATAAAGGCAGTTAGCGAAAATAAGCGCTACCCGCCATTTTACGTCTGTAAAACGGATTGTAAAATTGCAGTGAAAGGCAAGAGCCTGTCTTGTACTTTCTGCTTGGATATATCATATAAAGACTAAATTTCCACTGCCCGACAAGCTTGCAGATCTTGTTTTAATGCTCCGTCATGGTGTTCTTGATCTCAGATTCTACAAGTGACACCAGATAGATGCAGGTAAAGTTTTGCTGTATCGCAGCTATATGCTAAGTGAGGATTTGCCCTTAAATCCCAGTGTATACCATTGAGGTGTGAAATACAGACACAGAGGTGACTTGAAATCGTAAAAAAATGATCGGAGATCCACTGTGTTTGTGGCATTACGTACGGTTGCGTGACCACCTCAATTTGAAATGCCCAACCTAAAAATCAAACCCGCTGTTACAACGTCTGCGGATTTCTGCTTACTTTGTCGAGTAAATAATAAGTTGAGAATGACGGCGATGATGCTGATGATGGTAAACCAGCAAGCATGCAAGAAAAGCTATGTCCTTAAAGAGGTGAGTTATGAAAACCTATGCGTAAAAAAGACATGCAACAAGAGAAATAATTTGTGTTACTTTTAATTTTCATAAAATCAACAACTTATTAATCGCGTTTGGTTCAGTAACTATAGTGAAACACAAGTATGTTTTACTAAATTCCCTCAAGGCTTTATTGTAAAACAGGTATTAAAATTGAGGTGAATTTATAATTAGAAGGTGCGAAACCATCTGATTGATGTGTTCTGCAAGGCACGCTTAAAAACAGCTTTAGATAAAAGGAATATTTGAAGGGTGAAAAGAGGTGTTCACGTGAGGAAAGTGTGGAGGAAATGAACTCAGTCAGGCATTACCTTGGTCCTATGATTACGCAGCTGTCTGTGCATCGGTTTGCTGTGATTGGATTAGGTAATTGAAGGAGAGAGGAAGTAGAGTGGAGATTAACGGCCGATTAGAATAATCCAGCCAACGAATGAAATGACACGGATGTGCAGCATTCGATTTGTAGATATCGCTGCGTGCACAATAAATTGTTTAGCGTGTTTGCTGCTTACATAACTAAACGCATTTTAAAGCAGAGTTGGAAGTGCGGCCATACTTTAATTTTAAATCTAATGAGGTTTTCTAGGTAAAAGTAAACTGTGAGTGCTATTACAATCCAAAAAAGTAGAATAAAGTCAGCATAAACACTGAAGACATCACGAAACAAACCAAGGACAGTCGGTAAAGTTAGAAAATTAAAAGTTTATAACACAAACTAGAAATTTATTCAGGAGCTGATAGCATTCTTGATGAAGAATAGACGCAATGTATCGTCAGTTTATGTTCTGCCTATCCGTTGCAGTAGAGGACCAGTGCAAATCCATCTATGCCTGCCAGAATGGTTGACCTACTGCCACATGTGAAATCTACAAATATTTAGTTTTATGGATGACTGATTTCTGAAGGCCTATAAAAGTTATTCCCATTGTTGTCGAAGAATTGGCCCCTTAACTGACTTACTGCCGCTAGCCTGCATGAGATGAAGTTCTAATGCCATTAGGCAAAGGACATGCATCACACCAGAATGAACGAGAAGGTCCATCAATCACTTTCAACTAATGACAGAGTTTGTGGCAATCTGCAAGACTATACTAGCTGCGTTCTTCCCGGTTAGATTTGAATTCAGTTAATTCTTTAGTTCAATTACATAAATTCTGTTTACGCCTTACGTAGCGCCCTTCGTTATTTGATTTGAATGTTCATCGATCG